TTTCATTTTACCCTTTTCTAAATGTATTTAGTCAACCATACAAATTTTGAAAGTAAATAATTGTGATATTACTGTAAAATGCACATTCTTATGGTAATGTAAAATAACTAATATTTAATTTTTTTTTTTTTTGGTACCAGGGATTGAACTTGGGACCTTGTGATTGCAAGGCAGGTGGCGGAACCACTGAGCTAAACCCCTGCTCCAATATTTAATTTTCAATGTCAAAGAGATGCTAAACTGTGGAGTCACAATCTGACACCAAAGACTCTATATTTAATGTCAGTTTAACATATAAATAAAATATAACTGCAGTACAAATGCTTTTAGATAATCCATTAATGATTAAAAACACAAGTGTAACATTTTCAGTTAGTATTAACTTATTAAAAATCAGACATTGAGAATCAGGCTTCTAAATGTCAGCAGAGAAGCTACAAAATGCAGGGTTTTTTCATGGTGAATGTGGAAGTATGATGGAGGAATTGAAATTAGCAGCACAATTCTAGGTCAACATGCTAAGAAAACAGGAACAGATTGTCTTTTCTGTGTTGCATGTTTTTTGCCAATCATTCTGATATCTTAACATTTCTCTTTGTCAAAACAGGAAAACGGCCCACCTGCAACAGACACACAGCCTAACGGTGCGATGACAGCAACGGGTGCGAAGCCATAGGCTGCGAAGTTCCCCGTCTCTCCCACCGCCATCAGCAGGACTCCAACCCACCAAAGCACGCTCTTGAAGTATGGCCTCGGGTGCTCTCGCTGTGCTGACAGAAGATGAGAATATTTCTGGAAGTAAATCAGATTGTAAGTAAGAAAACATGTCTACCCAATTCAGACTCGCTTTGAAATTTTGCATTTTGTAAATTTGCATCATGGCTTTTAAATTTATCTGCAGATTATTATAGAGAAGTTATTATAAGTTCCTGTTTATCCCAAACATATTAACAGCAGAAGCATACATATTTATACAGCATTTTACAGTTTAAAGTGCCTTTTGGCATATGCACATTGCTTTATTCTCATAACAACTCTGTAAATTAGGTACCATTATTATTATTATTATTTGGTACCAGGAATTGAACTCAGGGCGTTCCACTTGCCAGGCAGGTGCAGCGCCACTGAGCTAATTCCGTGGCCCCTAGGTACCATTATTACTATTTAAAGAGTAGGTATGCCAGGCATGATGGTGCACACCTGTCATCTCAGCACTTTGGAGGCCGAGGCAGGAGGATACCATGAATTCAAGGCCAGCCTGGGCTCCACAGTGAGTTCAAGATCAGCCTGAACTACATAGTGAGACCCTGTCCAAAAAACAAAACAAAACAAAACAAAAAAAAGAAAAAGAGGAGGTGTACGTTACAAAGTTAAGGAACTTTTTAGAATGCTATGCCATTCTTTTAGAATGTCAAATAACTCCAGCTATTAAAATAACATTAATAAAATAAAGATAATAAATTCTTAAAGACAAACTTGCTGAAGGGGATTTAGATTTACGTGTGAATGTACCTACCACAAATAACATAGCAGAATAAAGAATGCCCTGGTAACGGAATTAGGGTGGCTGAGGCAGTTTGATTTTTTTAATCTGGTTTAAATATTTCTTTATATTTAAAAAAATATATATAATGGGCTAGGGACGTAGCTCAGTACTACAGTGCTTGTCCAGCATGTACAAAAACCTGGGTTCAATTCCAAATACTGAAAAACAAAACAAAACAGACATATAAATTCCTAAAAGACTGATCATTAGATAAAGACATTTTCTCTAATGTTATAACTAAGCATACTTCTTTATATGAATTTTGTGGAATTCTAGATTACTTAAAACTTTTTTTTGGTACCGGGGATTGAACTCAGACCTTGTGGTTGCAAGGCAGGTGCAGTGCCACTGAGCTAAATCCTCAGCCTTACTTAAAACTTTTTAAAAGAAAATTTAAAGGTATTAGAAGAAAACATGGAACATTAAAAGAAAACTCGGTATAAGGAACACTTTTCTAATGTGATACAAAATTCATAAGCCAGAAAAGCCAATATTTTACTGTATTCAAAAAATCTTCTGTATGTCAAAAATTATGAACAAAGTGAAGGCACAGACAATAGAGTGAGAAAAAACATTTGCAATACATATAATGACATAGGGTTAATATCATTAATATGAAGAGAATTCCTATAAAGAGATAAGACAGAATTCAAGAGATATTATGCATAGGTTATGACACAGTAATTTATAGAAGTAAAATTACAACTGAGAAAAGATTCTTAACCCCATGAGTAATCAAAGAAATGCAAACAAATGAAACAATGAAATATAATACCACTTTCATTTATCAGATGTGTTTTCTTGCCCTTACCAATAACTAATGATATATGCATTGAGAATATGGGGAATGGTCATGGCCAAACTGCTGTGTAAGTGTAACACGAACATGATACAGCCATGTAGATCAGTTTCTCTGGTCCTAGCAATATTTAAAATGAATATGTCCTTTGGTCTACAGAATATTTACACATGTATTGAAGGTATAATATATATAGAAAGATATTCATCTTGTTATTATTCATAATAGCAAAAAACAACTCTTATGTCCTACAATATAGGATAGTTATATGCATTTTGTAACATCCACCCAATTATATGTATATTGCTTATGCTTAGATACTGATTTGGAAAAAATACATAGTTAATAGTGTTACTTCTGAGCAATGAGGGGAATGTCACTTTTTTCTTTTGTAGTCTTGAATATTTTTTATAAATGGTATAGTTTGGATCTGAAATGTCCCCAACGGCTAGTGTATTGAAGGCTTGGTTGTCAGCCTTTGGTGCCACTTGGAGGTGATGGAGCCTTTAAAGGGTGGGGCTTACTTGGCGGAAGTGAGGTCACTGGGAGTGTGCTGTTGAAGGGGATGTTGGGACTTTGACCTCTTCCTCTCTTTCTGCTTCCTGGCCACTGTGAGGTGAGCAGGCTTTCTCCTCCATGCAACCCCACCATGATGTACTGGGCCACCACAGGCACAGAGCAACAGGGGCAAGCAACCATGGACTTAACCCTCTGCAACCATGAGACCATATAAACCCTTTTTTAGTTGATTTTCTCAGATATTTTGTCACAGTGACAAAAACTTGAGTAACACAATAAGATTATTTATTGATTGATTTTTACATTTCTTAGTAGTTATTGAAAATTATAATAGGTAATTTTCTAGCAAGGTTTTTTTTTTAAATTAAATTCTTTTATTGGTACATTGTAGGTATACAACACAATTACATGTCTCACTGGGAATTGTACCTTTACATAATGCATCTTGGTTCTTATTTTTTCCCCATTCCTAGCCCTCCCTTCACCGCCTCCACCCTTCCCTATTTACAAAGACTTTATTTCCATTTTTTCCATTTCTCAGCATTTTTCCTTTCCCTTCTTTACTTTCCCCTGCCCCTCCCACCACCCCTACCTCCTTCGGGCCTTTTCTTCCTATTTTGCATTATCAATTATTCATTCTAATCATTGGTACATTTTAGGTATACAATCTAATGACATTCATCATTGGAAATTTGCACCTTTACATAGTCTCTCTTGGTTCTTATTTTTCACCCTGGCCCAGTCCTCCCTTCAACCCCTCCAGTCATCCCTATTTACAAAGATTTTGTTTCTATTTTTCCATTTTCTTATATTAATCCCATTCCCTTCTATCCTTTCCCCTAGCCCTCCCACTTCCTTCCCCTTTGCCCCTTTTCTTCCTATTTCACATTACCTATTATACATTTAGTCCTTATTTACACTTTCAGTTTCTCACACCAGAGAAACTATTCAGTATTTATACATGTGTGTCCTATTTATTTCACTTAAGAGGATCGCCTCAATGTGCATCCACTTAGCTATAAATGTCTCTAATTTCTCATTTTTTATGGCTGAGTAGTACTCCATTTTATAAAAAAACCACATTTTCTTTATCCAGTCTCCAGTTGATGGGCATTTGGGCTGTTTCCAAGTTTTAGCTATTACAAACTCTGCTGCTATGAACATGGGTGCACATGTATCACTGTGGTATGATTCTTTTAATTCTTTGGGGAAGATCCCCAGCAGTGGAATAGCGGGGTCAAATGGGACTTCCAGTTCTAGTTCTTTGAGGTATCTCCATACTGATTTCCACAGTGGTTGCACCAGTCTACACTCCCACCAGCAGTGGAGCAGGGTTCCTCTTTCCCCACAGCCCTGCCAGCATTGGTTATTGGTTGATTTCATGATAGCAGCCATTCTTTCTGGAGGGAAGTGGAATCTCAGCGTTGTTTTCATTTGCATCTCTCGAATGACCAGTGATGTTGAACATTTTTTCATGTATTTATTTGCTATTTCTACTTCTTTGTCTGAGAAATGTCTGTTCATTTCAGATGCCCATTTTTGGATTGGGTCTTTAAATTTGGGAGGTCTGATCTTTTTAAGTTCTTTATAGATTCGAGATAGTAGACCTTTGTCTGAGGAAGAGCAGGTGAAGATTTTTTCCCACATTATGGGTTGTCTCTTCACATTGTTGGTGGTTTCTCTTCTAGCAAGGTTTTGTACAAAAGTATATAACATTCTGGAAGATATTTAGATATTCAAGTTTATTTTTGTTTTTTAGTTTCAGAACTTGCATTGGTTTGATTCTATTTCAAATGCAGTCATTAGGTAATTCAAATTTATTTTTTAGTTCAAGGTTTGGTTTAAAGGTACTGTTTTGTTTAGCTTTTAGTTTAGCAAATCAGCAATCTTCCAGTTTTCTATTTAACTTCAGTTAAAGTTCCGATTTTATATTTTATATTCTTTTTTCAAGATCTTTAGTCTACACAGATATATTTAATATAACATATTTAACAAAAAGAAAAAAATCTGAACCCCTATAAAATGCTTTTAAAGTTTATTGTGTCCCATCTGGGCGTAAGCCTAAAAAAGAAATCAAGAGGAAAAAAAAAAAAAGAAAAAAATCAAGATGCTGAAGGGCCGGGGATTTAGCTCAGTGGTTTTGCTGCCTGCTGCACAAGCTCAAGGACCCAAGTTTGATCCCCGGTACCAAAAAAAAAAAAAAAAGCTGAAGATCAAGTCAGGTGATTCATTCATTAGACATAATAGGGTCCTTGTCTAGAATCCACAAAACTGTTGGAAGCCAAAAAAGAACAAAACTAATTTCTTTTGAAATAAAAAATGAATGTAGTCTAGCCTGGATTATATTTGTCTCTGTACCAATATGGTCATAAAATATATTTTTTCCTATTTTTTAATGGAGAAAAACATATCCTTGGGTTAAATTACAGAGCTAGAAAAATAAGGTATTTCTTACCTGAATATTTAAGGAAATACTGATTACCACGTTTCCTAGGATGCCCAGCAAAGCTCCAAAAAAGTGAATCTGTAAAAGAAAACATTTTCTTTAAATAGTGCTATAAATAGTACTTATAAGATATTTACTGAAAAATAACTTGGTCCTTTATGGAATTCTCTAGGTATTTGTCTGCCTCATTCACTAAAATAAAGAAAATGTGCTGGGCATAGTGGCACATGTTTGTAATCCCAATTGCTTGGTAGGCTGAAGCAGAAAGATGGCAAGTTCAAGGCCAGCCTAGGCAATTTAGCAAAAGCCTGTCTCAAAACAAAAAAGTCTGGGAGTGGAGCTCATTATTCCCTGGGTTCAACCCTTAGCACCACACACACAAACACACACAAACACATACACATACACACAAAATAGTCACAAGTTTCTGATCTCTTCCCAACCAATATGCTTCTTATTTATCTTTTCTGTCCATTTTCTTTTCTCTTAATCTATTCTGAAGGTCAGTGGTATGAAAGAAAGATCAATGGACTTCGAGTTAAAGGATAATCTGACATATATATCTGCAGTTTTCTAACTGGGTAAACTTGAACAAGTTATTTCACCTCTCTGGCCCCAGTAAAAAGGGGTCATTAATTTAGTGTTTTTTGAACCCCCTTTACCTCCAAGGTGCTAGGCCCCCTCCACTACATTCTCCCACCACTCCCCTCATCGAGAAGCCACAGCGCCTCTCCGCAGCCAACTATCAGATATGAAACACGATGGCAGCTCTCGCAGTCTGCCCTCCCCTGGCCACCGGCTGTTCAAGGCACAAGGATGAGCTTCCTCTGACTCAGGTATGTGGCACATGCCACCTCCGGTCAGATGGGATACTTGTTCATGCCACTCCACTTTCCTAGATATGCAGCTCCCGGCCTCAGCCCACTCTACTCAGGCCTCACTGTCCTGGTTGACAGAGCTCCACCTCCTTGAGGCCTTCTCAGGTCCTGCAACCCAACTTTACTTTCTTAAGACTACTTGGTAAATCGCCCTCGTTCATCTTTGACATTGTAATGTAGAAGGCAGATTCTCTGAGGGAGGAGAACCAAGTGTTATGTTGCTATTGAGTCTTCTACATCATGTACTACAAAAGTTTAGAGGTTTAGTAAAAACTAGCTTGAAAAAAAATATGATGGCTTAAACAAGGACCACAAAGCTTAAAAAAATAAGTTCTTATATGCTGCTCAAGATGTTTAGCATAGATAGCCCATGAATTACTTGATGACTTCAAAAGAAGTGCATTTGCTCCCATCTAAGTACAAAGCTGTATCTTGTGTCAGCATAAATTAGCAATAATACAAGGGCTCTTCCCCTTTTATTCTACAGTACATAACTTCTAGCTAGCTTCACATTGCAAAAAGTCATTTTAATTTCAAATGAATAGCATAAGCAGGAGAAATTCTTTTCAGAATGCATAAAGTCTTTGAAGTTTTAAAGCTCTATTACACAAACTGAAGTGAAATTCAGCGTTTTAGAAATGAAGCAGGAATGTTAAATAATTTTATAGTTGATATATAATATCCATGGTCTTTAATCAGTTAAGAATTGTTTTTTCTTAATAAAGGTACTTGGCAATAATTTTGATCACTATTCCTCATGGGGAACAACTATATCACAATAGAATATGCTATTTCCATGCTTTCTATTTACAATCTAATGCATTTGGCAATAATCAGGAAAATAAAGATGCAAAAGAAAATTGGCAATGGATGGATAATTATGAAAATCTTCCATAATGGTAAAAGTAAATTGTTGAATAGAAACAACTGACTTCAAAATTCTTAGAATCATTCACTCAATCATTCATTCAAATGCCAATTAAGTCTGGGTGTTTAAAAATTGGTGGCAGGATTTGGCAATGATTTCTTGGATATGACACAGAAAGCACATGCATGAAAAGAAAAAATAGATAAAGTGGACTTCATCAAGATTAAAAACTCTTGTGCATCAAAGGACACGATTAACAGAGCAAGAAGGCAATCTATGGAATGGGGGAAAACACGTGCAAGTCACATACAGGAGTAGGGACTGATATCCAGAATACTCCATATAAAAACCACTATAACTCTCTCTCTCACACACACACACACACACACACACACAGAGATAACACACAGATAACACAGAGACATTTTTCCAAAGGACATACACAAATGGCCAATAAGCACATGAAAAGAAGCTCAGTATCACTTATCATTAGGCAAATACAAATCAAAACCCCTGCACATCAAGTAAGATAATGATCATACAAAGTCAGACTATAACAAGTGTAAGGAGGTAGATGAACTGGAACCCTCATGCCTGGCTAGTGTGAATATAAAGTGGTACAACCATTTTGGAAGCTGGTCTGGCAATTCCTCAAAAAAGCTAATGATGGAATTTCCATTTGACTGAGAAATTTTACTCCTAGGGATATATTGAAGAGAAATGAAAACACATGTACCCACAAAAATTCACATACAAATTCATAACAGCCCAAAGTGGAAATAAACAAATATCTTAACTGATAAGTGAACAAAGAAAATGTGGTATAGTCCTAAAATAAAATACTATTTAGCCATAAAGAGAATGAAGCACTAAAAAAGAAAAAAATAAAAAAGAGAGAATGAAGCACTGATAATGCTATAAAATGGAGGAATCTTGAAAGGTCTGTGTAAGCAGAAGAATCTAGCTACAAAAGGTCAAATATTATATAGTTTCATTTATATGAAATATGTTAGTGGTGTGCTTATGGGGTCGGGGGTTATGCTAATTGCATAATTTTGTGAATATGTTAAAAACCAATGACATGTTCACTTTAAATGAGAGAATTGTATGGCATGTGAATTATATATATGTAAAGGTATTACATAAAATAATTTTTATATATACAAATTATATATATTATTTTGCACACGAAATAAAATGCTACAATGTAGCTATCTCTATTCCAGTCTCTCTGCCTCCACTATAATATTTTTCTGAAGTCAATACATTTTTATATTCCCAGATTTTTATCATTTTCTTTTATTTAGTTTTCATCTTCATTTAGACTTCACTCATTAACTTTTCCTCTCTCTTCTTAGCTAATAATATGTGAGTACAGCTATGCATTGCCTTCTAAGTGCACCCTCCCTCAATTTTAGCTGCATGTACAGTTTTGACATGTGCAATCATTGTTACTCCATTCCAAACGCCTAATTATCTCGTTTTTTAAATCCGAGTTTTACACTACTCAGAGATGTTTTTAAAAAAAGTCTAAATGAATGAAGTGTTGGTTATCATTGTTACTAATTTCTAATGTAATTTTTTTTTTTTTTTTTTGGTACCAGGGATTGAACTTGGGTCCTTGCACTTGTGCAGCAGGCAGTGAAACCACTGAGCTAAATCCCTGGCCCACTAATTTCTAATGTTACAGAGTTGTAGTCAGAAAATATGCTGTATGTAAATCAGCATTTGCTTTATGCCCTACTACATAATGTAAAGTGAAATTCCTTTCACTGGTAGTGTGTGGTTAAATTTTATGAGTGTTCAGTGTATGTATCAAAAGAAGAGTACTGTCAGATGTGGTGATGTATGCCCATAACCCCAGGACTCTGGGAGGATGAGGCAGGAAGATCACACATTTGAGCCTAACATGGACAATCTAGCAAGATCCTATCTCAAAATAAAAAATAAAAAGAGCTGGGGATATTGCTCAATGCAAAGGGCCTGGGTTCAACCTCCAGTACTGCCCTGCCGATTCAGTAGTTAATATAATTATATATATATGTATATTATTCTATCTTCCTTTATGTATTCTATTTCCTTTAATCCATTGCTGAAACTTTCACCACTCTTACTAAATTTGGACTGCTTCGTCTATCAATTGTATATTAAAAATCTACACAAAGATGGATTTATCCATTTTTCCTTAATTATCAAGTTAATTAACATATGCATTACTCATATAGTTACCATTTGTGTAAGAACACTCTACATCCACTCTCAGAATTTTTCAAGAATATATTGTTCACTATAATTACCATGTTGTACACACTAGATCACTTGAACTTATTCTTCTTTTCTAGCTGGAATTTTGTATTCTTTGACCAACATTTCCCCATCCATTCCTCCTTCTGTCCATCCATCCATCCATCCATCCCACCCTGCTGTGAACACTACTGTGTCATTACACTTCAGTTGAGTCATTTTATGTAAGATATAACTGGATTAAAGAACACAGACTGTAAAATGGGATGTTAGTCTTCTTACACTTATTTTGACTATTAATATATTTTTGTGATAGAAGAATCTCAATATATTCAACAAAGAGTTCAGAAAACTTAATTCCTTGTTGAATTCAAGTCTCAAAATACAGTGGAAAAACAAAGAACTGGAAATGAGGGGGCCTGGCCAAACAAAGAAGAAATGTCCTGAATTGAAGAAACCACAACCTTGGCCTTCACCTCTTACAACTACTCATCCTACCCAGGAAGGAGATATCAGTTTTCAAATGGCAAAGATAAGCACTGAGGATCAAGACCTCTCCAGTGTAAAGATGGATATGACCATGCTATAAGATGGTATGCACTCATGTGAAAATATGTTTCATACTGACTCTGTAGCTACTTTACCCAAAGAGTTTGGAAGTGTAGAAGAAATTTGGACTGCCTCATTACTGAGAACCCCAAAAAGCTTTGTAGTTGAAAACAAAGCTCTGCCAAAAAAGTCATTACAAGAAGAGCCTGAGCAAGAGGCACCACAAAAGAACCCCTTGGGAAGTTTGAATTATTTGGCTAGCCAATCAATCAAAGCTGATCTTCCACCAAATCTAGATCTACAGGATAATGAGATTTTACATCACTACAATCCTTGGCCCGGAAATCCCATAACAAATGAAAATCAAAACCCAAAATTGAATGCATCTGTTATTAAAATGTCTAATGAATTGACAGCATCCCATAGTGTACTAAAGCAAATGTGGCCAAGTCGGAAGGGAAACCTTTAGCATGGTCACCTCAGTATGCACGCAGATTCAATCTTTTCCTGGAAGACTCTGCAGACAATACACAAAATTT